AGTTTTTACTATACTTGGAGACATTAAAAATTGATTTAACTGCGTTCCTTCCAAATGTGTCGAGCCTTTTCATTGTTGCATCTTTATTTTCATAGAGCTCTAGACCGTGGGTTAACATCGGAACTGCTAATGATTTATATAATTGGATAATAGAACTTGGATGTGCAAATCAGATTCCAGATTGAATAAGAGTTGCCCTAAAATTTGATACCCTACTATCAATATTCATTCTATTTAGTGAAGCAAAAATTGATTTTTTTGTATCTGAAATAAAGCCTAGATGATTAAGTTTCTCACGAAGTATTATTTGATGGTTGTCTAGAGATATTGTGCAGTTCATTATTTGTCTTTTCCCAGAGAGCAAAAGTTCCGATTTGAAAGCATTAAGTTTTATCTTGTTTAAATTGTTGTATATGTTACACGTTGAAATAAGTTTTTTTAGGCCCGAGAGAGTAGAGCTGAGAAGAATGATGTCGTCAGCATAAGCTACAACACAAGTCAAGTTTCCATATATAGTAGTACCAACAATTTCATCATTTTTTATAGTTTCGAGTAGCTTCTCAGTGTATATCTTATATATAGAGAGAATTGATCCTTGTCTCACTCCTTGCTAAAGATCGAATGAGACTGATTTGCAACCTAGGTATAAGACAGTTGCACTGCCGCTACGGTATTAAGAAGATATAGTGTTAACTATTTGGAGATTTTTATCAAAATAAAGTTTATTAAAAAAAACATCCCAGTTGCAGCTGTCAAAAGCCTTTTCTGCATCTAGTGAACATAAATAAACAGGCGAATTGTTACGATTATAATGCTTAATTGTTTTGCTTACAATAAATTCAGTAAGATAAGGTATTCTAAGAGTTTAGTAAATATTGGAATAATGCTGATACCGCGGTAATTGTTTGGATCGGTAAGTGATTTTTTATAGGATTTAACTAAAGGTATGATAGTTGATGTTGACATTGATGTAGAGGTCCATCCGTGATTAATTGAAAAGTGAAATAACTTTCTTAACCATTGTGTTAGTGCTTCACATTAGGCATGTTTTAAATGTTCTGCAGAGATATTGTAATAATCCTTGCACTTATTTGATTTTAGACATGAAATAGCTGTTTTAATATTTTCATCAGTAATTAAAATCTCATCAGGATTTTTGCAAGGTGGAATTCGAAGATTAGTAACTCGATCAGTTATTCTCTCAGTGTTTAACTGTTTTTCAAAAATAGTAGCAAACTCTGCGGTGATGGATTCTTTATCTTTTTTATTATTTATAGTAAAAAGTTTTGAGTTTGAATCCTTTTTCATACTTCTAAAAGTATTCCAGAAGTTTTTTGGTTTAGATTTTTTAAGTTTTTCAATTTTTATGTATTGTTGATATAGCGTATTGTTTTGGGCTGCTTTGATGGCTTTGCGGAAATTCTTCCGAGCAAATAGGTAGCGATTAAAGATAGAAGAAGTAGTGTTTTTTACGAATCGCACTTCACTCCATTTTTAAAAATGAAAGGAAAGAACGTTTTTACTTTGAGTTAATTCAAAGGAGTCCACCAAGATTTTGAATGTATAGATCGTTTCTTTAACTTTAGGTGTTCTCTAAGAGCTGATGTTGCACTGTTAGTTATAGTTGTATAAATTTGGGTAAGTTCATTCTCAAAATTACCACTAGGGTTAAAATTAATGAAACTCGAATTTAAGTGAACATTATATAAGTTTATAAAGTCGTAATTGTTCCAGACATAACTTGGAATGCTATAGTCCTCTGTTAAATTTTTTACATTTTCTTGATGATGTTGACCTTCAATTCCAAATGAAATCGATATTAGTAAATGATTGCTAACATTTTGAAAGAAAGGAGAAATAACAATGCATTTATAAAAGAGAAGATATGTATACTTTGATATAGCTATATGATCAATGTAAGAAGAGTTTGGCAATGTTAGATGTCGATATGTGATTGCAGGACCAGAACCTTTAGTTATGTCAACTAATTCTAATTCATTTGAATCAATAAATTCCAATAAACCTTAGACAAATTGTTTCTCTTGGGGCTAGATCTTTCTAGTAGATCCTATATTCTGTAAGGAAATGATTGGAAATCTCCAAGTATAATTATCTCACTAGTATCCGCATGACTATTTATAATTCCTTTTAGTATGTCTAATTGACTTGTGTATTTCCAATGACGACTGATTGTTTTGTGATGAGGTTAGATATATGCCAATTACAATAATATTAATTTTATTTTTTTGTAACTTTATTGCAATTATATTATCATCTTCATACAGAAGCATGATATTTTAAAATTTATTTTTTCGTATAAAAAATGCATTTCCAACAAAAGGTCGACCCTGTTCGTGTTTATTTGCCTTGCTGAAAAGTAATGAGTGGGAGTTTTTACAAATATTTTTGATTATATAATATTCGAGTTTTGATACCCAGTGTTCGCATAGAAATGTTTTATCATGAGAGGTTATTAAGGTCTCAGTATATTAAATATTTGATTTAAGTCCCTGACAATTAAAAGTACACATACTAAACAGTTTTGCACCATATTCTTTCTTTAATATATTGTTTGAAGCCATTTTGATTAATATAATTTTCTACGGTCTGCATTAGTTTCGAAATGTTGGTCATCGATGGAGTAAATATGCTTTTTTCGGAACGGTTTAATAATTATATTATTATCCCAAATAGACGAGTTAAATATTTTTCCTTTTTCTGAATTATATACAGAGACTCTATAAGATTTATTGTATTCGTTTTCTCTATTTAAAGTAATAGATATAGGCGTAATGCCTAGCTCAGTTTCCATATGCAGTTTAAGCTGTTCTTCATTAATTTGGTTGCTTACACCACCTATAAAGACCTCAAATTTACGAATTATTCTATTACCAGCAATAGTTTTATTTCCATGAATTTTTGTTCCAAATATAGGTTCCAACATTTTATGTTTTTTTTTCTAAAGGTAAAATTTTTGTTTGGCGGACAGGCTTACTATTTTTGTTAACTAAAATAAAAGTATTTGGATTATTATCAATTTTTGATGATTTTTCTTTAATTTCAAAATTTGGTTGTTTAGTTTTATCAGTTGTAATTATGGTCTGTTGTTTTTGAGCCACAACATTTGCAAATGTTTTGACCTTTTGAGATTGGCTTTCTGTATAATCCTTTGCAATCTGTTTGCCACAAGATTGTTGAAAGCTATTATTTATAACATTTGTGGTGACTTCGGAACTTTTATTTTCATTTTGCTTGTCATAGTTAAATAGTTTATTTTCACATTGTGCATAATAATCGTATTTTACGTTTTGGGTATTTTCGTTTGATACTTTAAGGTTTTTAATTAGTTTACTTTGATGAAATAATTTTTCTCGCATCAGACTAAGCTCCATTTTTATTTCTTTGTTTTCTTTTTGAATCGATTTTGCAATAGTAATTAACTCTTTAACTGACGAGATTAAAAACTTGTCACTAATAATTTCAACATTTTTGGTTGAGATTAAGGCCTTAACTATATCTTTATGAAATTGCTTTTTGCATATTGCGATCGAAAATAGATAAATATCCTCTAAACATAATGTTTTATATCTTTTGCAAAGATTCTTTTCAGCTGGATTTTCAATGTCTAACATTATATTAATATCACTGAATTGTTTTGTGTCAAATATATCCAAGATTTCAGTAAATAAACGTTCGCAAAGAATTCGAATCAAGCTTTCAGAAACTGTGCTCAAACTTTCAATAATTAAATCTTTCGGGTGAGAGCATATTTCATCTAAGTTTTTCAGATAGTTATCTGCAAACGTATATGAATCACATATCAAATTAGAAATTGTCTCACCGACCAAACGCGGTGCCATATTCGTATTTTAAAATCAGTTATGGTGACAATATAATACCAAATTAAGTAACAAATTTATATGGTAAATTCATTATATATATCCATAAAACATAAATAACTAAACTAGTAATAAGAATTTAAAATACTGTACAATTTTTCCTTTAATTATTACGCTGCTAAAAAAACACATCCGCTTACGATAAAATCAATGCAACAAAAAAATAGTATAATAGTATAAATAGTATAATATTTTAAATCAAATAACCTGCAGAAAATGAATTTCAATAAACTGGTTGCTTTGCTTATATTTTGACAAACAACATAAGTATATTATTAATTTGAAACCGGAATGTTAATTTTTCAAATATCTTCACTAAGCATCTGTTATGCATTAAGTGTTTAAAAAAATCAAATTGTTAAGTAAGTAAAATAAAATGTATTTTAAAATTTTCATTCATAGAAAGCATAGAGAGTCTTCAACAAGAACTCAAGTAAATGATCATATTGCAAATATTGAAAAGGCCTCTCCATTGGTAAATAAATGTCAAACAATATGTATAGAGAATGCAAGCAATTGTTAAGCAGTTCTTTTTATATATTTATAGTATATACTATACCTGTAATCTTCTTGTATATTCACATTTTTAGTATTAATTTGTATATTTATTTAGTTATGTTTTAGTTAACATAAAGTTAGTTAGTTAAAAAACCTGTTATACCTAATGTATATTTTCAGATTTTATTTTAAGCTACTTTTTATTTTAGTCTAAATAACTATAGCTAATAAAGGTTAGCAAATGTTCTAACTGTTTTTCCGAAAATTGTTTTCAGCTTATTTTCTAGCAAAACTATGACTATTAATTATTACTATTTAATAAGACTTTTAACTTTAAGATTTTAATTATAATACAAACATTCAACTGTATGATTTTAATTATGACAATTATATACAAACATTTAACTATATGAGATTAATGAGCTAGCGAGTAAAAAAACTTACATACAACAATTGTAGTATGATGAGAGGATGAGAATATTAACTCGTTAAAGTTTAAGAAATATATGAATATTAACTTTTATAAATAATTTTATCCTGTTTTTTTATTAATAAAAATTAATTTTTCTTATTATTGTTATTATTTTTCATTGTATTTAGTTTTCATTATTATCTTGTTATTGTTAAAACTACTAAAATTTATGTTTATTTCAGAATAATAAAAATGAATAAACAAGAGAAAAATCAATTCTTGAGGGAACGGCACCAAAGTAATCGAGCCTTAAACAATGTACTTGTAAATGAAGAAATTGACTCACATCACATGTCAAATCTAATATTAATAGAGTCGAGAGTTGAATTGATTTCAAAAACATTGAAATTAAGAACTATAGTGACTTTTGTTTTGTCTCTGATCATAAATATACTTCTGGAACTGAGAGTTCTAATCTACACTCTGAGGTTCCTGTGAGTGATAATAATGTCTTCTGTGAGTGATGATAATGTCTGTCCGTTATCTTCATAACGGAGTACTTGTTATAGAGATTGTAAAATGGATTTTAAAACACAGAATAACTAGAAATGCAAGTGACGAATTATTAACCATTTACACCACTATAGTTATAATGTTGGTTTACCAAAATGTACAAGGAAAAATTTAAATACTCCTAGGAATATTCCAAGCAAGTTAAAATGTGGGGGTAAATATGTTTACCTTGGTATTTCAAATGACAAATCAAGAACTTTAGCAATCAACCAGCATTATAGATTTGAGTCAAATACAATTTCTTTAGTTGTTAATGTAGATGGCATTCCTTTATTAAAGTCATCAAACACACAGGTTCGGCCTATATTATGTATGTTTGACAAAGTGACACCATTTACTGTAGCATTATTTGTTAGTGATATCAAGCCAAATAATTGTGATGATTTTTAATATGATTTTTTGCATGAGTTAATATTTGCAAATGGTTTTTAGTATTATATATATAACTTCAATTAATTCTTGAGAAAAGGTGTTGCTAATGTGCCAATAATAAGTCAGAAAGTGTAAGCATAACCATTTTCAAAAAGATAGAGTCCCTTGAGGAATTTTATGAGCTTGAAACCAGATTAAAAGACAACGGGGAGAACAGTAAATTGGTAGTTTATATTTATAATTTCTATTTTTAAAATTTGTCTGTTTAATAGAATGCTATTTAAGTTCATCGTTTTCTTGATGAGCCTATTTAAATCATTCTTACATTTTACCACAATATGGTGTAAAAAGTAAATTCCTTCTTATAAATCGAGAATTAACTTAGTGACCTGATAACCATTTACATTCTGTAGAGTTTTTTACAGTCTTGTATTTTTGTTAAACTATTTTGTCTTATATTTGGTTTAGCCATTATTATTTTGTTACTTTTATAGAATAACTGTGAATACCAACCAAATAAATCTAATCTTGTCTTATTCCAATATGAAATTTTCTCTAAACATTTATTTATGTTTTAGCTTGGTCACCTCATAAAAGCAGGTGGAAAAATGTTAAAGAAAATACAAAAAATGTTATGGTCAGGTATGTATTTTTGTTTAACTCTGAATAATCATACTGTTTAAATTGTGAGTAAATTTTATAGAAAAATCTAGCCCAAGAAAAGTAATTTAGAAAAATAAACTATTTTAATATTAATGTTTGGGGAGAACCTTAACGCTTATTGAATGTTACAAAATCAAATTTACATACAAGCATCTAAGGTTAGTTAGATATCCAAACTCCTGTGGTAAGAAATGTTAAACACAACAATTTAAAAAACTCATCATTTACAGACTTAATCATTATTCCTATCATGGTCTGAATATGATGGGCTAAACATAACATTAGAAATGTTGCATTAATAGAAACTAATAGCACATTTGGAATTATGGAAACATTTTTTTTGTTTTGGTGCGAGAAGTTAAGTTTAATTTATTTTTGAGCTTTTTGTAAATTTAACCAATAACTCTCACATAGTATGATAGTAAATGGTTATCAAATAATTTTCAATGTATAAATTAAGCAACTTTATAAAAGCATTTTACAAAAACTGCCCTGGGCTTAACATGATGCTCCATAATTCTATAAAAACTATTACGTTTTTATAGAATTATGGAGCATCATGTTAAGCCCAAGTTCAATATGAAAAGCAAAACTCGTGGTGATATAAAGAAGGTATCATTCGAAAATAAAAAGTTGTGTAAAGCAATAATTTTGGTACGTTAATAATAGCTCAATATTGTTATATCTATCCCTTCTTTCTTACATATGTTTTTTATTCTTAGATATATATAAGTCTTGAACCTTGAATGTTAGCGTTGAAAATCAAACAAATAGTCAATTTTAAACAAAATAAATTTTGAATTGTTATGCCGTTTAAAGTATCCCATGTTGTATTTTAGAAGTCATCCAGCTAACGCACGAGAGTTCGACGGAAGCAAACAAAAGATCAAATAGGAAGCATTTTAAAGTTCTCTCCATTAAGCAATTATTTATTTTTGAGTTTTTTTGTAAACTTATAGTACAAAAGAATATATAATACATCTTTAAAAAAACTCTTTAAAAACATTTATTGTATTTTTAGTTTGAATATCCCTAAAACTATTTTTCTAACCTTTTGTAAGGGGTTAAAAACCTTTATATTAACTTTGAATATTGATTGTAATTGTGTTTAACATTTAATGTTAATATATACGGTTATATTCATGTAATAACTATGACACGAAGCCGCGTATAAAGGGCTTTGGCTCAGAGTTATATGAATATAACAATAGCTATATAAACATTAAATATTACACAATTAAAATCATTATTTTACGTTAAAATAAAACACCAATATTTTTCCAATTTGTATTAACATTAGTATAACGTTAATCTAACTTTAGAATTTTACGTTAATATAACGTTAATATCTAACATAAGAATTTTACGTTACAAAACCTTTCCATTTTGCCGAACCGGCATCGTTATACTAACATAAAATCTAACGTAAATAATACGTTAATACAACGTTGTGTGCCTCCTGGGAAGATGTTTTCAAAATGAGTTCGATTTTAAAATTTGGATATCTGTTTCCAAAGTTATGACAGTTTATATTAGGCTCAATAACGCCTATTTTGCGACAAGATTTGTTGAGTTTTCCTTATGGATTTACGGCACCAAATTTTGATTAAAAAATTTATTTTTAAATGCTATCAATGAGAACGAGTTTCATTGAAGTACTTATGCTAAATTATTTTATTTGTTTTTTTTACAAAAGAATCAAAAAATTCAATTCTAAAAATTATTATTCTCATATTAGGAGCCCCTTTGTAAGGATTCCACTGCTCGTAAAAATCTTAGGGCTTATTTTCCCCATTAAAAGCAATCGGTCCAATAACAAAGTTCTGTACAAACATTAAAAATTAATTTTAGTTAAAAAAAGGTATTTTTCAAACTTTCAGAATAAACAAATTTATTTATACATATAAATATTAGGTAAAAATGTAAAAATACACAGGGTCCGTTTTCCCATTTTGGAGAAAATTCGGCCAAGAATACAAAAAGTTCTGTTAAAACCGTAAAAAATTAACTTAAGTTAAAGAAAAAAAGTTTTTTCAAACTGTCAGAGTGAACAAATTCATTTAAATTTATAAATATCAAGAAAATTTGTAAAAATTTTAGGGCTTGTTTTTCCAATTCAGGAGAATTGGGCCAAGAAAAATCAAAGCTCTGTACAAACAATAAAAATCAATTTTATTTAAAGAGCTTTTTTAAACTTTTAGAATGTACAAATTCATTTTTATTTATAAACATAAGGAAAATATGTAAAAATATACAGAGCCCGTTTTCCCATTTTGGAGAAAATTGGGTTAATAATAATAATAAAATTAAATTTTTTGGCATTAACAGAGCTTTTTCGTACTCTTGGCCCAATTTTAAATGTAAATGAATTTGTTCACTCTTACAAGTAAGAGTGAACAAATTCATTTACATTTATAAATATCAAAAGTATGAGTAAAAAGTTCAGGTCTTGTTCCCCAAATCGAAGCGATTCGGTCGAGTTTGAAATTTCTGTAAAAACCAAAAAAATAAACTTAAGTTTAAAAACAAGAGCTTTTTTATATTAAATGAGAAAACAAATTCATATGCATTTTTAAAAATCTAAATTTTCCGGAACAAAATGTCTTTGTAAACCATCGAAATACAATGACTTGCTTTGTCCAACCACTGTCTGAAGCACTCCTCGTTTTTTCTTCTGGGGCATTTTCAAACTAAAAACTCAATTTATAAAATGGTTATGACTGTCTAAAAATAAATGTCTATTTTCTATGATTATATCATATACATGTATCAAGTAATTTAAGTTAGTTATTCTCTTTCTCTCTGTTTATAAATTTTAATGTTTATTACATTCAAACATTTTAATTTTATTTTTTTCGATATTTTTCTTGACGCCATTATGGTACGTTCAACCTACATAGCTAGTTATTTAGGATACCATAATAGCGTCAAGAAAAATATCGAAAACAAATTATTATAAAAACAAGTATCAAATATTGTAATTTAATAAGCTAAATAATCTTTTTTGATGCACTAGAACCCAAAAAAAGCAATTTATAACAGTATATGTACTTGTCAAAAAATGTAAATAAAATAAACTATCGAGAAAATGACTTGAAAAATCTTCTAGCTTCTTTTTTAAGAAACTTTGAAGAATAATCTCCGCAGATCAACATTTTTTTTTTAACTTTTGCAAGTAAAATATAACAGGCAATTAAGCTTGAAATTAGGTATTATGAAAATAATTCCCGAAAAAGTTGGCGATAAATTCGCTGAAGTTTATATTCTAAACTTGTCACACGGAAAAAGTCACGTGACTGAAATGCCTACTTATACGCCAGAAAGATGTACTGAATGAGTTCCCTAATGCCGTTAGGAAAATCATTCTGCACACCATTATTAACTTTAAATTTTTCTAACATAAATTAGGTTGACTCGTATTTTATGAACCTAAACTAATTAAGGTGGTAGACTACTATTAAAAATTAAAATAATTGTTTTTTCAATTATAATTTGTATAAGTAATATAATTATCGTTGATTGCGTATTTCGAGTTTATTTTATAAAAAAAAAAGCTAACCTCATTAAAAACCACTTTTCTATAAAATAGTAATAGCTTTTAGTTTATTTTTCCCATAGCAACGCTTTGTTTTTTCCGTTGCACCTAAAAGTGAGCTTATACAACAAAGTTCCAGTAAAAATTATGAAAGAAACTTCACATATGTCGATTGTTACTCTAGAATTACTTTTTGTTTATTAATTGATGTTTTTAGTGGTGACATTGTTTTCAATGGATACTCTAATATTCTTTAGTATCAAGCACATTGGTTTTATTACTTTGATATTCAAATTTGATCATCATATTTGATACTCAAAGCCTCTCTTAATTCATATTTGTTATAATATATATATATATATATATATATATATATATATATATATATATATATATATATATATATATATATATATATATATATATATATATATATATATATATATATATATATATATATATATATATATATATATATATATATATATGTATATATATATATATATATATATATATATATATATATATATATATATATATATATATATATATTTATAATTCATAAATCATCATATTTGATACTCAAAGCCTCTCTTAATTAATATGAATATTCTTAATATATATCAAGTAAATGTTTTTAATGTTCTTTGTTTTATTTTCATGGGTAAAACCAACTCTTCTCCAACCCTCTTTCTTAATTTATATTCTTTAAAAAAATATATATATTCTTTAAGAAGTTATAATTCAATTAAACAACCAATTATCCAAACTATCTTTGGTAAAACTCGTATTTCCTTTCGCGGAGCTTTCTTATGGAACAATATTGTTTTAAAAAATTTTGATTTTTCTCATGAGTGGAGTTATTTTTTATTTAAGAGAAAACTTAAAGAAGTAATTTTTTCAATTGATAATATACTTACATACTTTTAAATTATACCTAGCTCTTAAATACCTAAATATTGATTTATTTTATTCAATATTAATTTAAATTTACTATTTATATATATTTATTTGAATATAATTAAAAGTTGCATTGACTACAATATTTGGTTTTTATATATTTTATTTTATTTACGGTATTATACTGAACGACTTTAAATGTAAATACAATTGCTGCGCTGGTTTTGATTTATTTAAACTTGTATTATTACCATGTATATACATTTCTTATTTTGTATATGCATTACGAACGCTCTAAATTGTAAAAGAAAAAAAAAAAAAAAAGTTTATGCGTGTATATGTATGTATATCTGTGTATGCATGCATGTATGTGTGCATGAATCTATGTGTATATGTATGTATGTATGTATGTATGTATGTATGTATGTATGTATGTATGTATGTATGTATGTATGTATGTATGTATGTATGTATGTATGTATGTATGTATGTATGTATGTATGTATGTATGTATGTATACATATGGGTATGAATGTATGTGTGTATGTATGTATATATCTGGATATGTGTACGTGTATATGTATATATATGTGCGTTTGTATGTGTATGTGCATATTCATAAACCTTTATACCAGAAAATAGCATTGTACAGTTGAAATTTATCTAAAAATCACAGAAAAAAGTTACATGAGACAGTCGTTAAGAAGACTATGTAATTTCGTTTCAAGCACCTTTAAGCAAGTAACTTAAAACTGTAACGAAAGAAATTCAAAGTTTCAATAGCGGTTCTCTGTGACAAGACCTTAAGGTCTTCTTAGAGTGTCCGCGTTCTTTATATCTATCCTTAACTTTTCCAAGTGTAATTTTTCTCTTTTATATTAGTTTCTTAAACGTTTGTATTTTAAATCATGTAATGAAGAAAAAAAAAAAAAAAAAAAATCATTAAAATAATGGGAAATAAAGATATAAGAAATAAAATAAGATGTAGTAAGAAACGTAGACTATTTAGAAGAAACCGTTATCAATTAAAAAACGTTACTGGTAAAGAAAATGTACCTTTTCGAGAAATAAAGGATAGTATATAAAAGTTTTGTGGTTTAATGATCATACCCGATCCTATGAACAAGTCTTCTTTTAACTCGTTATGTAAAGAAATTACCAACTGTTACAATTACATAGCAGAAGCTAGCATAAAAACATGATTAGCTGAAGAAGTATGGAAAATAAGTTTGAAAATATTATATACTGTATGACAAGCATACAGTAGTCAATGAGGACATCTCAGGTGATGGGGCCTGGAAGAGGTTACTCTTCACCTAATGGATTTGTAAATATAATAATCAAAATAATGATAAGTTTTTAAATGCTTTGATTTGGAAACATTGTCCTAAAGATGTTTATGTTGGAACTGACAAATAAAATTTAAGTTGTTGTTCTGCCATCATTAATTTGAATGGGCTTATCAATAGAATTTTTGAAAAACTTTATTTAAAACTAGGACATTATTGTTCAGTTTTTTTTAGCATCTTCTGATTTAAAAAGAATAAAAAAT